AGCCAGCTCACCCCCGTCCCAGGAGCCCAGGCTTTGACCCAGGACCTCTTCGGGGCAGAGCACCCCAGGATCTCTCAGCTGGACCAGCCCAGAGGTTCTCTGGTCCTTCAGACCCCGGCAGGAGCTTTCTCACTGCTCATCTTCGTTTTTCCTTTAAAAGGCAGATTTAGGGCTTTTCTCTCTCCCATCAGCCGCTGAACACTCCCACTCCGGCTGCGCAGCGTGCTCCGGACTGTGCTCCCAGAAATCAAAGTGCTTTGTGCCAGCATTCGATAATACACCCTGCTATACATTTTGATTACATTACAAATACGATTACTATTAAGCTACTATAGGTCTGCCAGGAATAATCCTGCGCTGACTCACTTCAGATGCCAGAGAGATGCTGTGTGAAATAGCTTCTCCTGCCACATTTTGATTACTGTGCTGCAAAGCCGGTCCGCAGGCTTTAAATACACTGAATGTGTTTGGTAAATGAAATTTCTGGGATAATATTAAAATGTAATCCTCCTGGATAGCATTGTCATCGTTCTAAAGGACTCTGCTGATTCCCTCTCCCTGCTCCTGCTGACACGTACCTGGACGCTTTCATTCACAGCGTGCTGATGGCTGCGCAGAGATTGTGTTAAAGGGCCCTGTCCCTGCTTCTGGTTTGTGGCTCCAGCCTGTGCCCGTTCCCAACTGTGTTTCCTGCAGTTTGTACCGCGGTTTCACCCTCTACTCAGTTTTCTGATCAGAAGACTGAACCCTGAGTAGCAGCTGGGGAAGCGTAACTGGTACCGTGGGCACCCGAGCGGCTGAGAAATCCCGTCCAGTCCAGCTCCGAGGGAAACCACCTCAGGGGTGCAGATGTTGTACGCTACCACCTCCAGCTCAGCACACACACACGTGTTTTGTTCATGGAGGCACTTCTGAAGCAAACTGGGCAAGCTGTGAGGCTGCCACGGCAGCAAATACGTGGCTGCTTTGATAAGTGTAGTGATGTACATCCAGAAAAGAAACATGAATAAAAACAAAGACACGTTTTAGAGAAGCTAAAATGTGTGACCGGGGCAGAAGTCCCTACAGCTCTGTCCACACAGCTCCCGGGCACCCTGCAGCCACCCAGAGGGGCACTGGTCCCAGATAACTGGTGACACTGGGTCTCTAGAACAGGCGAGCCCACATATTCACCAGCGAAGCCAAGTGACTAAAATCCCTTTTGCAAAGTGTCAGAGTCCCCCCCTGCTCAATGTCCAGGGTCCAGCGGGGTCCCTTTGCCCAGGGAGGGGGCACGGGCACTTACCATCGTCTGAAAGCAGGAGTGGAGCTGGGTCAGGAACGGAGGCTTCCCAGAGAGAGCCAGGACCCGTTTTTCAACCATCGTGCACTCTACGTCGTCGTCCTGGATAACAACGTCCTTCTTCAAGATTTTGACGGCATAGAGCTCATCTGTGCCCTTCCTCTCTGCCAGCATCACCTGCACGAGGGAGAGGACACAGGGTAAAGGAAAACCTGGATCTGCGACGCTTCTAGCATCTATTCTTAAAAATAACAACTTGCTTGTCATCCCATGGCTTCCACTACAGCCCTGAAAAGAGGTTCAGGTGTCGAACGATGCAGAACGCTACCAGCGGTATTTCCAAAAGCCTTTAGGAACCCCAAGTCTAACAGTAACCCAGCTAGTTCCTCGCCACCAAATCACCTCGAGGAACCCAGCCCAAGGGGTTTGCTGACGTCCGAGCCACAGATCATCCCTCATCACCTGCCACCCCGGAGCTGGGACCCGGACCAGCACCCTCCAGGTGCATGCAGCATCGGGGGAGGGCATCAAGAGCTTCAACACAGAGTCCACCAAATTATGAAGTTGTAAAAACTTAAGAGGGAAAAAGATCCAGCATATAGGCAATAGTGAGAAAGTAACAGCAGGATTTTCTCTCCTGCTCACCCGCCCTCCCACAACACGATCAAAACCCAGTTACGTGCTGGCCCATCATCCAGCCAAAGCCCCTCTCATCTAGAAGAATCCAAGCTCCCATTTTAAACCAGTTTCACCCATTTGCAGGTTTATTTATTGCACTAAATGGGACGCGCTGCTTCTGCTGGTGCAAAACTCCCTCCTTAATCCCATCAGCCCCAGTGAGGATCCCCAGAGCAATCCACCACGCTCCATCAGCGTAAGCTGCTCCTCGGGCTGCTGGCAAAATAAACGGCCTCAGAAGCCGTGCTCTGCTTCCCATTTTCCCTCCTCGCACCCTCTCATGACGTTAGATTCGAGTGCTCAGTGGAAATGAACTGCTTTCCATTTGAAAGAGTCTGCAGAAATCCTCCAGTCACATCAGGAAGAGGAGTCGGGATGTTGCGAAAATAAATTACAAGAAGTCGGCATCAATAGGCTGGAACTGAAATGCATTTCAGGCTGCGGCAGACTGGGAGAGGAAACGTGAGCAGGTCTCACAGGAGACTTTTGGGATGGAGGATTTCACCCTCTTGCCCATCCCAGGCAGATGCAACGTGCCTGGCTGCCCCACGGAGCTGGGGCAGAGCCCGTCCCAGGGCAGGGCAGCCTCTCTGGGGAGAGGGCAGCAACGTGCCAGCCCTGGAGCGGTGAGGCAGGGGACAGAGCAGGGGACGGAGCCCCAGGACAGAGGACATGGGCGGGTGCAGAACAAGGGGAGGAGAAGTTTCTCAGGCGCGTGGCTCTGGCTCGTTGCGGGCGCCTGGCAGTGGCCCCAGTGGAGGCTGGCCGTCCTTGACACGCCGCTTGTCAGGATTAGCCGGGAAAGGCATCAGGGCTCCTCAGCGCCAAGTGCTTTGGAGCAGCCGCTGACATTTACATTTTCATCAGCGGGGCCCGGACGGTAGCGGCTGCGTGTCGCGTGCCTGACGGCGCGTCAGTGACTTCGGGAGCGGATTTATTTACTGGGTGTCTGAAGAAAGTTGAGAACCGGGAGCAGCTCGGCGTGCTGCAGCGACGCAGCCCAGCAGGGCACAGGGGCCAGATTTGAGCTTCATCCTTTCCCATCGTCACCCCAGCTCCCCGAGGTGTCTCACAACACCCTGCACAAACCAAACTGTTCCAGTTCACTGCCTCCATCTACCTGCATCGTTTCAAGTTGCTGTGCGGAGGTGCTAAAAACCAGGGCTGATTCTGAAGTGATAAAAGCAGACGGGCTTTGGCCACTCAAAGGTGGGGGAAAACGAGAAGCAACCGCTCCAACAACACAGGCTGCGGGAAGATGAAACCCATGACCTGGGAGTAACTGCATTATATCCGGCATCAATTATACACAGACCTACCTTGCTATCCATAACCCTTTCAGAGATAAAGTAACTAAACTGGGGAATCTCTGGGCCTGGCATCTGCTCAGAGAGACTCTCGGGAGAGCACGTTGCTGGTAACGGAGCGTGTTTGGGGATGAACACCACAGATCAAAGGTAAAAGCAGCTGCTGGAGAACAGGGCTGGGCTCTAGTAAATAACTCTGCAGGGGAGCTGAACGCTGCCAGGGCCATCGGAGGAGGAAGGGCAGAGCGGTGGGTGCTACCGAGACGTCAGTGCCCACCCAGCACCGGGACACACCCCAGCACAGTGATGGACAGAGGTTGGTGGGTGCAAAAACCCATATAGTGACCATAAATGTTTCATGCAGCACCTTCCCCGTGACATGGCAACCCCGAGCCCCAGCTGAGCCTACCAGCCCTGCTCAACTGAGATGCAAAAGGCAAAAGGACTTTGCAGCTGCTGAAACATCAGCTGCAGCACAGCCCCGGCACAAGGCCACGTCCGGGAGAGAGCAGAGGGATGCTGGAAACCACACGTTACCACGTTTGCCTGTGACACATCTGGCAGAGCCAGCAGCTCCAGAGGTGTGCATCAAGACCAATGTGGTTCAGGATGCTGGAATCACCGCGAGTTTCCACACGCAGAAGAGATTGCAGGCTCTGCTCTTAGGGCAAAGCCAGAAAATACTTCTGCACCCTGAGTGACAGGCACGAAGCAGGCACACACGTCAGCAGACACAGTCTGCTCCTCTGCAGGGCTCACACCTCGGTCTCCGACGCCGTCTCACCCCAGCCCTGCCCGCAGCGGTGCCAGAGCTGGCGGCACAGAGGAGCTGCCAGCCCTTCCGCCACATTTCGTACCAAAAGAGGAGAGGGAAGCATTTTACGGCTTAAGATTATCACAGGATGTGAAAATGGTCTCTGCAATCCAGAACTGCAGAGGCAAAAGAATCAGCCCTGCTCTGAAAAAACACCATGAACCCTCCCCGAAAAGACTGACAGCTTGATGGCACGACAGATTGATTAGCTGCAAAAATATGAGCAAGCCACGTAATTTGACTTTCCTCTATTTATATTACGGCGAAGCAAACCCAGGGTGGGCTGTGCCAAGCGCTGCCTCCTTCCCTCGGGAACCTCTCCCTTCCGCACGCCAGCCCTGGGGAGGGCTGACACCAGTGACAGCCCCGACGGAGCCCGGGGCTAGCCCGGACCACCACGGAGCTCCGAGGGTTTCCCTGAGCATGCCCCAGCCCCTGCCCCTCAGCTCTTTTCCAAACCTGAGCAATTTTCCACCCCCCCAAACCTTGATGCCTGGCTCTGTGGGGACCTCCATCTGCCAGCTCACTCTCTGGAAAGTAGATTGTGTTCTTTTTAAATTTTTTTTTTTATTTTTTGGTGCAGAAAAAGCTGATATTTAACTTGATTTATTCCTGTAATATAGAGTATTTGTTTGGGAACATTCCAGCATCATAACTAGAGATATTCTGATACCGAATGTAGAGGAAGGAAGCTTATTACACTCCACCGAGGCCAACACGTAGGTATCCCTGACCCTGAGCAGCCGTAGCGGTGGAGAGAGAAAAATACCAAGCAGTAAATCAGAGCTGCTGATGCCAAAGGGTTAACGAGCTTATGCCTGAGACAAAGACTCACTAAAAGAGCGTGAAGAGCTGGAGAGACAGCAGCAGGGCTGGGAGGAGGGAGGCTGGCCTGGGCGAAGGATGCTGCCACTGAGGGCTGGGAACCTGCTGGAGAGGGATCCTCTGCCCCAGCTCCAGGTGCCTCTGTCCCGTCCCTCCCCACCAGCCAGGACCACAGGGTGCTGGGAGCAAAGTCGCTCGTCCCTCCGGGCAGTGGGATGCTGAGGGGAGCCGGGGGGAGCCAGGCGCAGGCACACGTGAGGGTGAGGCTGCAGCTAACCGGAGAAACCAACGTGCTGTTTTAATAAGCGCTAATTAGCATATTTATAACATTCTGTTCCAGGGAACAGTTTCTGTCACACATTCCCTTATATAAGCCGCGATGCCGACTGAAGAGTTTGCTAATGTTTCTCAAATTAAAAGAAGGGGGGGGAATAAAGCCCACAAGTACCGAGTTCCCAGATGCCAGGCATAGACTTTAAAAGGCATTAGGTGTTGGGAGGGGGAGAGCAGGGGGCAGAAGCGACACGGGAAGGGGCATGTGTATAGATACCGAGTGAGAACAGCGCAGGCACAACGCACACGGTGTCCCGGGGCTGCTCCTGCTCCCCGGCACTGCCAGCCCGCAGCAAAGGTGTAAAACACAACGACAGCAGCATCGCTGGCACGGGAACCACAGGGATGCTCCAGGCACCATCAGGAACTCCCTGTCCCCCTCCTGTCACAGATGTTTTGGCGGATCTCCAAGCTCCCCACGCTCAGGGAGGCAGCAAACACCCGTCTAGAGTGGCTGGGACCTCCTCAAGCTCAAAAGGAGAGGGTTCACCCCTCGAGCTGAGCACGTGCCGGGTGAGCATCGCTGCTCCGGCATCCCCTCCTCACCTTCAGTGCCTGCCCAAGAGATCTGCCTGAAGGCAGAGCAATATTTCCCGCAATTAGGGCAATTCACTCATCAGAGAGGGTGCCGGGACATCCATCGCGTCACATCACACTGGTGCTCAGCAACAGCAGCTCACCCTCCTGCCTGCTCCGGGCTGCGAAGCTCAAGCAGCCACCTGAGCGCTGGAATTTCTAATGGAAATCATGGTAAAAGTTGGCAAGACCCCAAGAAAAATGAAGGCTCCAAGTCACATAATTACTAGGAGAATGAAATTCTGTTACCACTCATAACTGGTCTGGAAAGTTAATTAAAATGTTCTCATGTATTTGTGATTATTAGAGGGGAGGGAGAAAAAGGCAAATAAAAAAGAGCTTTAAAGACACAGCATGCACCCTGCTTCCCAAAAGAGACCACCTGACTGTGATGATGGTCTCATCAAGACATTTCAGGCTTTCGTCACTGTGCCAGAGCAGTCTCAGAGTGGAAGGGAGCCAACAAACTGGGCTCCCATTGCCATGACTCCAGTGCTGCCAGGCACTGCAAGGGCACATCACGCTGGAGCAGCCACGCGAACGCTAGAAAAACGTCTGTAGACACCAAAAATGCAAAGGCGACGCGGCACCGCACCTTCCCAAAGCTTCCTTTGCCCAGCACCATCAGGAAATTGAAATCCGAAAGTTTCATCCGATCTCTGCTGCCATTGTTGTCGAATTTAGAAATGGCATTTGTTGTCTTCTCATCCGCAGCCTTGGACCCGGTTCCAATCTTGGCTCTCTGCAGAGGTGGAGATAGGAGAGGGAGAAAAGAGAAGAAATTACCAACAGCAGCAGGGAGAATGGTCGTTATCAAACCAGCCAGTGCTCCTGAAATCCTGTGCAGATTTTCCAGGTCAAACCCTACCCTGAGCTACAGGAACCTTTCCTATAAGCGTGATGGGGAAACACCAAGGTATCAGCCCCCACACATCGCACTGTTCCACTGGTTCCCAGTTAATCTCTGCGAGAACAACTGGGAACCACATCTGCCCGTTACCCGGTTACCCCTCTCTCTGCAGCCTCCACGCCCGGGGAGCTGCCCTGTAACACTCTCTAGGTCATCGAAAGGATAGAACAGAGGCGTAAATAAGCTTCTTCTTTTTTATCCCTCTTGAAGCTGGCTTGTGTCTCACACCTCACCAGAAAAGCACAGGTAAATATAAACGTATTAAAGCAAAATACAGGACTTTTAATCCAGCTCCACCTCCACTACTATCTGATACTGAAGAGAACTGCACTCCCGTGCCAGTTCAGGCTGAACGTAGGAAGCTACAAATCCATTCTGAACAAACCCAAGCAGAAAGCACTCCTCCTGCATCCCCGAGCAATCGCGCGAGCTGCTGCCATCACAATTGCTTATTAAAGGGCCTCACAAAACCCCCACATTTCTAAACACCAAATCTCATCAGCGGCTCGGCACCTCCTCATCGGTCCGGGGGCTATCTAATTTGCTGAACCACAGTTTGTAAAAGCTATCTCGCAATTTATTCGGCTTTAATTTTTAGAAATACGTGACGGCGTAAGGCTTGCACTGAGCTCAGTCTAGCATGAAATTCCATTAACCCGATTCCAGCAGTTCAATTTGGCTGCTGATCGCAGCTCCTCCAGATAGGAGCCTCGCAAGTAATCTCCAACCCTTTGCCGCTGCTAATTGGCTCTTGCAAGGTTCTCCGTGCTGTAAAATTCTCCACTCAAGGTCACCTGCAGCACCTACAAAGATCCGAAAGACTAAAGGAATCCTCTCTAGGATTTGCAAACCTCACGGTTGCGAACGCAACTGGAACCACCGACCGGTCACGGGGACCTGCTGCCACTGCTTCCACCAGGAAAAGCGCCGACACCAGCGAGGAACCAAAGTCACCTCTCCCCAAGCACAAGGGGTTTCCCTCAGTGCACTCTCTGAGTTTTCGCAACGTCCCCAAAAGACAGGGATCACCCAGCCAGAGCGGTTTGTTCCAAACTGGCTCAGGTGACAAAGGAACTGTGGCTCCGGTGCTGGCCGAGAGCAGCTCCTCAAATGCGGGCGAGGAGGGACCGAGCCCCGCGCAGCGTAACCGTTGGCAGCGATCCTCACCCCGCGGTGTGTCAAAGCCGTCCCCAAAGAAATGTGCGCTTCTCAGCAGGCAGAACAGCCATACTCTCCTGAAACCTTCCTAAATAGTCAATCATGGCTGAAAAACAACCTTGTCAGATCGGATCTGACACTAAGACAGCCTGTGTGAAAACAAGCTGTGGTAAAATTCAAGGGCAAGGTTCGGTTTCCTTTAAAAGGCAGCGGAAAGCAGAGCTCTGTTTCCGATCAGCCCTACTCCTCCTCCTCCTCAGCCCTGGCGCTGGCCCTCGCTGAAACGCCGACGCGGTGGGGCAGGCTTTCCGTCCCGAGTGGACAAGAGCAACACAGGGAGAGGGGAAGGACGAGGCTTTTCATTTGCTTCATGCCGGCGAAGCGCCCGGCTCCAGGCAGAGCGGGACCGGCCGCGTGAGAGCTGGCCGGGGTCCCTCTCGCCGCTGAGGAGCACAGCCAGCCCTGCGCTTGACCGGGATTTCCAGCTCTGTGGCACATTCAGAGGAGACAAGACGAGGATACAAACACGAGGTGACTTCCCTGATAAGAGAGGCTCCACATGTGGCTTGGCCAGGAGGGGGAAAAGTCCCCCAAAGTAAGAGCTGGGAGATGTAAAGCTGGTCACCCCCAAGTGAAGTGTCTTGCTTTTCCTACCGAGTGTCCCTGATGTCTATCTCTGAGAACAAAAGCCCTTTAACATCTTTTTAATACACTCCTAACGCTCACACGACATCGAGACCTCTTTAAGGTTTACAACTGAAGCATGTCGCTCAGATTTTTTTTAAAAGAAAGCGCTTGACCTTCATTATCCAACTCCATTTGTCACAGTTAATTTACTACATCTGAATTTATGCAACAGCAGCTGACGTTCACATCTATCAAGCTGTCCCAGCAAGTGGCTGACAAAGACGGAGCAGAACTGGCAGGGGACGCGGCGCGAGGCTTCGCGCCGTGCTGCTGTCTGAGGACCTTTTCTCAATGATGCACAGATGTAGTTCAGCAGAGTGAAATGACACCTCTGGACAACGTATTTTCTGATCTGCAGAGCACTCACCACCTGGCTTCCGACACACATACCATTTTAGCATCACTGGAACGTCACAAAATCAGGTAGTTAGTCCCTTACAGAGCCAACAACCGTTGGTCATACGCCAGCTGTTGTCTTAGAACTGTCTTATTTTCTTGGATATTCAGGAAAATTACTTATAAACGTGAGATTAAAGGAAGAAAGGAGAGACAGGAGCCAACTCTCCAGTGCAGTGGTAGAAAAATGGAGTTCATGCTGACTACCAGAAGGACAACCACTTAATTTTATGTAGGGGTCATTTTGTGCAAGTCTCCAGATGTACTGTATTCATTCCCAGGGTTCTGGGAAGGCTTTAACTGTACTGAAAAATGGCAAAGACCTACTAATCCAGTAACATCTGGATCAATCATTCAGCAAGACCTTCCACAGCACGTTGAGTAGTAAGTAGACATTTCTTCTTGAAGCCTCTTCGGGGAGCCAGACCCGAGTATCACTCAGATCTTTGGGAGCCTGGCAGGGAAACCTGACCAGCACCAGCCCAGCCCTGTGCTGATGCTCAGTGCAAAGCCCTGATGCTCTGGCTGCTGACAGCGGCCGAGCCGCTCAGCTCCTCGGGGAAGCCTGCAGAGCTTTTCCAGCTCCCTGAAACCCCACAGTGCCAGGCACTCCGAAAAGCCCATCGCTTCCACGTCCTTCATTCTTCACAAGCACCACCAGAGCCAGCAGCAATGCCAAGCCCTGGTCGCCCGCCCTCGCTGCATCCTTCGGGCGCTAACCTTCAAAAACTGAAACCCCACAGTGCCAGGCACTCCGAAAAGACCATCGCTTCCACGTCCTTCATTCTTCATAAGCACCACCAGAGCCGGCAGCAATGCCAAGCCCTGGTCGCCCGCTCTCACTGCATCCTTCGGGCGTTAACTTTCAAAAATCAAGGATGTGCAATTATTCCTGATGGATCAGATTAAAAGGGGACGAGGCTCCAGCCGCGGGCAAGACATTAGGTCACACCTTGCCGCTCCCACGGAGCCCTCTGGGGACAACCGGCAGCACCAGCCACAACGGTGCGAGCTGACTTCAGACGAGGTGCTCTGGTGTCACTCCTCCTACCTCGGCTGTCACTTGGCTGCATCCGTCACCCTGTAGTTCAACCAGCACGGGCTCCACTCTTGGCTGCCAGGTCACCCAGTTTCTGCTGGTACCACCTCGGTGCAAACGCCGTTAGGGACCAGTGACGCCCCGCGCCAGCTCACCCGCCACCCAACTGTTAAAACCCCAGCCTGGTCTCAGTGCACCAGGCAGGGTACAGAGCTGCCTCGGCACTTAACAGCTAAGAAAGGGTTCCATTCCATAATTAGCTCCAAATCCAATTATATTAATATCTTGATTTATCTTAGTTAATTATATTAATTCATAATCAGCAGCATGACAGAAAAAAACCAGACGAACAAATCTTATTATCTGGCGCCTCAGAATGAGGGTAGAGCTGCTGCAGCGACAACTCGCGCACGTGCTGACACGAGGAGCACGGTTACATCAGGTCATCCTGGGACATTCGGTCCCTCTTTAATTGGAATATAGTGATGGAAACACACTAAATGAAGTATCTCCTTATTTAGCTACGCTACACTCATTTTGGCAAACACAAATTGTGAATTATGTAACCCTAACAGAAAGACAGACGAAGTCTGAAACCACGCAGTTAAAGGGGGATGTTTGCTACGCTGCACTCTTCATACTAAGAAGAAATGACTTCTTAGAAATTACAGGATTTCAGACTCCTTCCTACCCCCAGGTAGCAGAGACAGGGGATCAAGCAAGCTCTCAGTGGAGCGCAAGGCATCAAGCAAGCGCTCCACAAAACTCTGCACTGTGCAATATTCTCTGTTGCACTTTCAACCGAAGCGCCCAAGAACCATTTTCATCTCTCTCCTCATCCACCAGAAAAGGCTGTTCCCTTTCCCAGCTAAACCCACTGCCTGCTCCTACCGGACACACGTGTGCGCAGGAGCCGTCCCCGTACTTTCAAACTAGAACACAGAATTTCAGAAGAGCCACGTGGACGGTCCCTTCCACGCGCTGCGACTAGAAACCATCCTGTCAATCCCATCAGAAAACTGCACGCGAATGAGCCCTACGCTTTCAGCTCCTGCTGTATCTGAGCCCTTTTGCCTTAACTTGCTCTTCTGTAAATCTCTACAAAACGATGCCCTTCAGTTCATCCGTCCCCACCAATGACTGCTGAGCGGTTGCTCCTGGCCCCTCCGTGTGCCCGGTGCTGCAGGAGCTGAAGGCTGACCCAAGCTCTTGGCCGAGAACATAGCAGTGACGAAAACCCTTGAGCCCCCAAGAAAAAAAAACAACTCACCTCAAATTTCTGCCTCAGCTCCTCGTTTCCTTCCTCTCCTTCAGGAGGCACCGGGACGTTGAAATACTCCCCCTCCTCCTGGCTCAGCAGCTTAAACCTGGAGGGACCCAGCAAGAGCAGCGGGTCAGGGGGGCAGGCAGGGCTGCTCCTCCTGGACCAAGCACAGCTCTGCCGCCGCTGTAACGGCATCCCCGGGACCCATCCCCAACGTTAGACCCCTCCCCAACCCTCACCCCCCGCCCCAAACTGTCCTGCTCAGCCGGCTCCCAGCCACACACCACACAGGGGGTTGTTTCTGGGGTCCCCCGCTGTAGTGGGGACCCGGAAAGCGCATCCACCGCCCGCTGCGGCTGACACCGCGAAGCACCAGTGCCTCCTTCAAAATGCAAGCGCAACCCAAAACCCCTCGGGATGGGGACATCTTTCTCATCACAGCCCCAGAG